GCAGGAATGGAGGTTTTATTCACATCTTCTGTACATAGGCTAATTCTGCAGGGAATCCTTCTGGTCAAACCAGCAACAGCAGAGGCAATGAGAGAAAACATTTTTAGCATCAGTATTTCAGAAGTATTTCTGCTGTTATCATTAAGCATAATGAGAACAAAATAAACTTTTGTATCTCTTCTGGACTATTTGTTGACATTTGTATCTCAGACAGAAAGTCTTAAGAAATGCAGTAGATATGAAGCCCTTTTTAAGGGACTTGAATATCTCAAAGTGCAGGTCTGTGTGCAAAAAAATAATCAATATGCAACTACGCCATATCCTTTCTGTACCATTCCACACTCTAGCTTTCTAATTTCCATTAACAAAAAAACCAGCACAAACGACAGAGAAAAAGGGGGTGATTTAAAAATTTGGAGAATAAATAATCAATTCATCCCAGTTTACATTCTATATCAAAGTGTAGGAGTAAATACAATTTAATATAATGATGTATGATGAAAAACACTTTTTGGCCCTCTTCTATGTAAAAAGGACATGAAAATCTGAAATGTTACTGAAAGAATGTAGGTAAGAATTTTTTTTTTTGAGTGTTGAACTCTCCTTTTTCTAATGAAGCAGTGGTAGCTGGAGTTGTGGGGAAGAAGGGAGAGGGTATTTTTCCTAGCTTTTTGCTCTTTTTTTCCTCAAATTTTCAACCATCAACAATGAAGCATTAGACTTTAGCACTACTTAAACACACACCTTCATTGGATGAGATTGCTTGATGAGATTGCTATGTCCTTAGAGTTTTGTTGTACCTAGATCTGTATAATCTCTGGTGAGAGTCAGGCTCTCCAACTGAAGTATTTTACGCAGCATAAAAACAAACTTACGGAAACAAACTATCTGCTTGAACCTATCTCTCCTTATCCCATGATTGTATCTATTTTGAGACTAACATTTAAGTAGTTAAGCCAACTAGTTTTGCTTTAACATGAGGGACAAACAGAGTTTCAGAAAACCTAGTGATCTATTGAAGGGCTCTTTTGGCATATTAGTGAATGGTAGTTCTTTTTTCCAGCAGACAGAGACAGATGTGAAAGCAAGGTTTCCACTTCCTGCATAAATATTGTAACTGAACCAAAATGAAGATCTGTACCTCAAGGCTATTTACAGTCAGGAAGATTGAGGTTAATTAACTTCAGACATATAGTCAAAGGTAAAGCACATTGCTCCCACATGCAAATATCCAAATCAGTATCCTTAGTTTATTGTAGATGAATATTAAGGCTATTCTAAATGTGACCTTGATGAGAGGAAAGTCACTCAGTAATCCACCAGTTCTCAGTGCCTTAAAGTACAAAGCTGTTCTCAAATGCAAAGGAGATGTTTAAAGCTTTTTGTCATTTTTAATCAAAAACAAACTTGTATTTGTTTCTCAAAAAAAACAATTAATTCTTAGCAAAGTTGTTGGTGATTTTCTGATTGCTTTATTCCTTAATTGTTACCTGAGAATTTTGCACTAATTAATTAACTAACAAGCATGTTAACTGACTTCTGTAGGAGAGTTCAGAATTAACCTACCTTGTTATGTCTTATTTTATGTCTTAAGATCAAACACAACTTTGGTATTTCACTAATAATAACAGTGATAAACAGTCATTGTCTCCAAGGCAGTAATATGAGGGCAGCAGTTTAACGAATATATCCAAGTGTGATTCTCTGTGTTCAATACAAAAAGCCCTGTAGGAAATGAGCTAATTTTTCTCAGACAGTGGTGATCTCATAAGCAGTTTAGTACCAGCTGGTGTAAAGCAGCTACAAAGAAATATATTCCCTTTTAACAGCAGCTCCTCCTCGGTGGCCTTTGTTTTACATGCACCAGGGCTCCACCACTTCTGTAACTAACGTTCATCACTTGATTCCTTTCCAAAATCCTAAGGGCTAAATCCAAAAACTGTTATAGGTGCCTGCCTACCTACTTCTTCTGGCCTTGAACAAGACATAAAGGAACACATGATCAGGTGGAATATTTTTAAGCTTTCCTATGGTTTGAGACAGCACATGTTAAGCTTGTTAATTAATTTATTAATGAACTAGTTCTCCCCAAAGATTTACTGAGGAATAAAGCAATCAGAAAGTCATCAACAATCTTGCTGAGAGATAATTAATCACTGCTGGGAAACAAACAAACACGAGTTAATCCCAGATCACAACCAAAGGCTCTACATAGCTCTAGTGCAGAGCCGAAATGTGGGCAGGCTGTGATACTGAGCTCACAGAATCTCCAGTACAGGCGCAATGATGCTCCATTTTGCAACCTTTCAGTGAGACATCCCCCTTTCTGGCAGAATCAAAATTAGGCACAGAAGAGTTTGGTGTTTAATTGAGGTCTTCACAGGTTTTAGCACACTCAGCAGG